CACTTCAATTTCAGATCCCACTCACGGATTACACTTCAATCTCAGATCCCAATCTCATTTCACTCCACGATACAACTCTCCACCCACGAGAGCTTGCTTTCTTCTTATCTCGAACACTCCACACTCGCCTCCTAATTCTCACCACTTCTCTGCGAAAATCACTCACATCCACACTCTATTCCAGCGACCAATCCCACCAGCGTCACCACACAATGGCACACCACACGATCTCTATCCCCAGGCCGAAAATTCCTCTCCAACGTTCAAGGGCTGAGTCACCCACAGCCCGCAATGATGGGCAACGGCCTGGCTCCCATGTGCAACTTCATGCCCCACGCTGCCACACCTGTACAGTCTTTATTTATGATCATGTCAACATCCGCCGTCCAAAATTGTGTTCCGCGCACCGCCGAAGGCATCCCCCCGCCGAAGACACTCTTCTACACCTTTGCATATCTATAACAGTCACCCCGACGCCCATAACTCACGGATCCCTGCTTCGTTTGCAACGTTCTTGGGCTCGTTGGAACAAGCGTGTTGTGTTCTTTCCAACGAGCCCCTAACTAAATCAAACCGATAAGAATTGAGAAAGTTATGACGGTTTTTACTCTTCCGCCGAAGGCGTTCGCCTTTCCGCAGGCGTCCGCGTCCTACCCGCAGGCCGCCTATCCACATGCGTCCGCCTATCCACAGGCCGTTGGCTGTGCACAGGCCGTCCGCCTATCCACAGGCCGCCTATTCACAGGCGTCCGCCTATCCACAGGCCGTCTGCCTATCCACAGGCCGTCCGCCTGTGCACAGGCCGTCCTTGGGCCAAAGGCCCCTCTAACTGTTAACGCCGAAGGCCTCACGCCTAACCCTGACAGCCGCTTTCGACGCTCATAACTCATTGATGACTATTCCGTTTCAAAAGATCTTGGTCTCGTTGGAACGTGCTCGTCGAGCTCTTTCCAACAAGACCCTAACTGAGTCAAGGCGTCACACATTGAAAACGTTATGAGAGTTTCACTCCTTCGCCAAAGGCCTTTCCCCGAAGGGACTTCACCGAAGTCACTTCGCCGAAGACCTTGCCCCGAGGCCTCCTTCCGCACCTCTTGCCCCCTAACCATCACACCAACTCCTAATCTTGCAGAAACTTCCAGAAAACCCTAAGCATAATTTTGCAAGAGCTTAAAACTAAACTTTTAACTCTCATAAGGGTAAAAAGACATGCGAGCACAGTTTTGTGCTCACAATCTTCATGCAGACACGTTGCCATTGTTTGGACATTATCAAAAATAATCTTTCCAATTATCTCCCTCCAATTATCTAATCAAGCCTGCCACAAATACTTTCATTATTATTTATTGTGTATACTCCCGTAAGTGATTCGTTACAGCAAAGCGTGAATTTTCCTTGATTAAAGCTAACCTTTACCCATGAGTGACATTCCGCTTCCTAGAATCTAAGGATTTTGATATGTGGAAATTAAAGCCGTAAGCCGAAACCTCTCAAGCGACACTACTTTTCTTCCATCAAACCTTGGTCTTGTCATGAAACCTTTTTCATACAAGAAATTGTAGCTTCTTTCATACCTTTTTTATAAGGGTTTAGGGTTCTGTACGTTTTGCCCATATATCCAGCAGGGTCTTGTGCAATATTTAGGGACCTCTTTAACTCGTCAGCAAACAAGTTCCTGATCAACTTGTGTATTTAAACAATTTTGCATTACAAACTTCATGGAATTGTTAATTTCATATATCTCCACTTTTGGAAATCTTTGGCAAGTCCCAAGCCGTTGTGGTTTTTCCGCACCTTTCTTCAGAGGAGTTTTTTGCCATGTATCCAGCCAGGCCTCGTAAAGTACTCTGTGACCTCTTTAGCTCCGCAACCGAGAACTAAGCTCGTATCCTTTTTAGCTCGAGTCCTCAAAAATAATAATATGCTTTTGTTCTAATCACTTCCATTTTTGGCCTTTTATTTCGTGTTGGTTTGGCAGTTGTACAGATCGGTGGTTCCTCTCTTTGACCAGTTGTCTTTCTTCTGGATCGATTTGCTTCATTTCGATATCGATGTAGCAAGAACATACAAGTGTAAATGATAATATATAGCTAAAAGACACCGTTCAGTCTCGCATCAAAAGAATCTCCCAAGGTTGTCACGTTAGTACGTGGCACCACCTATTGTCTGAATATAAGTAGTCACGGTTTCTAATCAAGAATCTGATCACTTGAGTTGATGGAGACATACCGTAACATAAATGCTTGTGAGACTGGTATGGCTTTTGAGTGATAAACGCTTCCATTTACACACATATGGGCACGTTGCGGTTCAGCTTCTGTCGGTATTGCCAAAGTTAACGTGCTATTTGAAGATATAAAGATCCCAAGTATGTAAACATAGTCTCAACATTCTCCTTTCATTCGACTCTCCTGCCTTAGCATATACACGAACGCATGAGATACCAGTTCGTATAAGGTTGATCGGTGAAGGCGTACGACCTCTATCTAAGTGAATGACTGCATCGGCTCAGATGACGATTTTTGTTGGAAAAAATCAATTTTAATCCGACATCAAGTGAGGTCACCCATTGGATGTTGGCAGAAGTTATTGGGTGAACTGATACTCGGTTGATTACACCATTTTATACAAGTTACATACATCTGAAGCTATGGTAAGGCTAGACAACGCTGAACCTTTTCGGGTGTTGTCAACGAGTGTTGCCAATGGGTTCATCAAAATAAAATACCATTGAGTAAAATTGGAGTGCCGTCACGTGGATATCCGCATAAAGATCATATTCTCATCTGTTCTGATGTACTTTGGGAACTGCAGAAAGTGTACGATGAGAAAGCGACCTCAAATAACCGTACAGTGACTGATAGCAACTTGTTCAACTCAGTTCAGTCGCTATGGCAATGAAATCAGAAGCCTTGTGAAGGACAGTGACAAGTGGGTGAGAAGGAGAGAGACGTACGTACCTTTCACTATCATCTCTACTCTGGCTGGAAATATGATGAAGCTCTGGTTTAACTCCTTCATCACTAATTTTGATTGAAGTTGGGAACAATCACCTTATAAGATGCTTAGCTAACCAGCACCTCTAAAAGAAGAATTAGAGTGACTGAACAACTGTGCTACTAGGAGCATGGTAAAATTTTCCATTTAGTGAGGTGTTGCACCTGACGCTACCCCATGAAACTATCTCATGGCGCCAGATTCGATTTCAGACCTGGAAATTAGCCGGTACAATCCAAACTTCTGATCCAGTAATTCTCTATGCTCGTTAGCATCAGATTAGTCACGTAGGGATTTCAGAGAAATGTCATACATTCCCATATTCTGCTGCTGTCTTGAGATCCAGCAGCTGAATACTTCTTTAAATCGGAAACATACTACGGACCTTAAAATTAGATCTCTGGAACAATGTCCTACTTTCAATTACCTAATAGAAATGACACGATCCTCCGTTCTAATTTTGCGTCAAAGATTGGTACTGATTTGGAGTCAAACAGCACGTCAGCTGTCATGCTAAATAGTTTCACTTGCCAACTGAAAACATCGATTGTGACATGTCAGTCATGCCAGTGTGCAGGTCGGCAGCTTGGTATGAATAGCATCCAATAGTCGAGTTCCTCCACCGAAAACTACATGCTATCTTTGTTCCTTTTAGATAGATAGTAAATAGCGATTTGTAATTCATGCTTCTAGCCCATTTCAGAAACCCAGCCACATGAGAAGTGGGATGCTTTTGTTCAGATCATAAGGACTTACACTGATAAGCAAATTTTGTCTCTTAGTCTTCAGATTTTAATCTAGTAGAGCATTATCATTTGAGTATGTAAAGTACATGAGCTCTGTATAGAATTAGACTTCGTACGAATAATCAGTACGAGAGACTAACAATGATCCTGAAACCAGTGCGTTGGAACAAATGCTGAAGTTAAAACAGATGGACAACATTAACAAAACTTCACTGTTCATTCGACTGACAGCAAACAATAAATGTCAGTTCTACAGCCCGGCTCATGCGGTCAATCTGTGTTCAATCTCCAGTGTTTCAGAGTTGGTAAAGCCTCTAAGACGCGTTGCATCGCCAGCTCAGTCTGAAAGACCGAAGGAATCAGGCTACGCTCTACAGTTCAATCACAATATACATATATTGCAAAATGAGATGTGTTTCCATCAACTCCTTGCTGTAAAAGTATATCTCATCTCTTATTGTACGTTCATGTGTGTTATCATTACTATGTCAAGCAGAAGTTTGTGAGCATGTCAAGTCACACGCTACGACCGAAGTCAGTGGACAAAATACTTGAGTGAGGTGTGCGCAAGGGTAGTGGAGCCAAGCAGGGCATACTGATATGTAAGTTGTAAGTAATCGTTGCAGCACTCACTCATTTTCTTAGTAAGAGGGAACAGGCTCTTTGTATCAAAAAAGATACGCGTGTGTGCAGTGGTGGCTAGTATCTCTTTTTTCATCTTCCTCCAGCTTTAGGACGATTGCATCTGTTTCGATCTTGACAGCTTGCAATGAGAATTATAGCTTTATTGAAACAAAAAGCCTCCTCTTAGCTCGCTGGGTCGCTAGCTGTCATTGAGCATGAGCTGCACTGGTTAGATTATTAAGAAGATGTTTATCTTAGTCTGAGAATCAGATTTTAGTTTTCCATAGAAAGACCAGTCCCTATACCGTTCTCTCTTTCTCTGACATTGTACGGTGTTTTATCTTGGTCTCCATTCATGAGCTTGTCCGGGGAGGCAAGTTGCATGTGACGACATGTAACGGATGGCATGTGAACCTCATGATCAAACTTCGCAGTCGATACATAAGTCTGGCCAGAGGAGGCATAGAGCAGTACCAATCTTCTCCCTAATTTTTCTCGAAGTGGCTGGGGGTTGGTCACATCGGATGTTTCTTAGAACATCGTCTGCGTCATCGAGTGCGCTGCAATGTGAACACTCCTTCGAAAATGTCGGTGGTGTTCTGAGAAATGAAGCGTATGTAGTTGCGGAATTCTAGGGTCCAGTTGTGGGGAATGTTGACTGGTTCGGTAGCGACTGAACTTCACCTTGAACCAGATTGATATCGGACCAGGCTTCATTCCCCTCAGCATGACTCTCTTCAGAAGTACCCAGATATTTCCGTGATGGAGCACTTTTTGGTCCAAACTCATACTTGATCCGGAAGAGTATTGATACTTTTTGCCGGGAGTCCAGCTTGTTTTGTCAAATATTCGTTCCAATTTAAGAATCTTGTGTTGGATTATCTTGACATTTTGAACGAGTGATTCCTCTGGAGGAACTAGCAATCCAGGAACCCATCCACAATGGATATCATGCTATAATAGTGAAATTTTTTTTCTTTACATTGCAAGAAACTGACTGTGTTGCCAATCGTAGAGGACTGGTCAAGCCGAGAGGTAGTATGAACAAGTTTCGAGTTTATTCAAGTTCCTGTTTTGCATGTGAGCTCACTTTGAAATGCTCAACCGTGCCTTCGGCAATCTTTGTCTCTCCGGCGTCTCATATTGATCTCCTAATCAAGTCCCAAATCAATTCTGTGGCTAAAGTGGAGTGGACTTCTTAGATTCACATTCCACTCCACTCCATGGAGTACACTAGTTTCTTCTCCGGTTGAAGCTAGTTCATATTTGCAGTAGAGGAACTGGGCGCGTTTTCTCTCGAGGACTCAAGAGAGTTTGAACGAAATCTGAGACTACATGAATTAGAAACTCAACATTAGGTGCTTTGAAATCCTTCGTAATGTCACTTACTACTTAACGGACGTGAAGTCGTTATCATAGTAGAATTAGGACAAGTTTGAATTGACTGGATGTTCAAGTAGTAAGACATAAACGACGGGCCTCTTGCATTCAAAAGTAAGAGTGAATTTTGAGGCAGAAATTATGCCCTATTAGCAGAGCACCAAAGATGGAACCGACAATAGGAAACTTCTCAGAGGTAGACCTGGGTATGATCTCAACTTAGCTTTCGCTGCTTCTCTCACTGGCTTCCGTTTCACGGCCTTTCTTTTATCGATTCCATATCTATTGCTAAATCTCGGCGGGGATGAATCTTTAAGGACTTTTATCATGGCGATGAATTATATGGATATAAAGATACGGCCATAAAGATTTTTGCTCCAACTTATTTGCCAAATGATTCCTTGCGGAGCAGCGTAAGTGCTTCAGTACTGGGGTCCTTTCCCATCTTTTCTCATCAATGATTTTAATTGTCAACAGGATTGTTAGGATATATGATTTATTTTTGATAAATTTGAACTCCAACATTTCGATAGAAAATTGTAGCGGCAACCGAATCAGTGAGCTTTTCTCTTGGTTTATGTAAACTTCCGTTATTCCTGTAGGTTACTCTTCTTGACGATTCTTTTATATGCATTGTTCCGCATTAAAAAATCATTGCTTGCTCTTTTACAGGGAGTAAGGGATGATTGTAAAAACTGATTTAGAAGAGATATTGAAAGCGTATTATTGGACTGCAATGAGATAATACTTACATGCATCCTTCTCAAAAGGAAGTGATCGTGAAGTTTAGGAACCATTCAAATTAATTATTGAGACCATATTGATCTGAAGAAGCTAGATTAAAATCACCAGCATATACCATTCCAAAAGTAAATAAAGAAGAAAGGCCATAAAACGATTTTAATGGATTCTTGGAAAGATATTAATGTAATGGGTCAATATCGAGAATACTAGCATGTACTATGTACGATTATGTACTATTAGGATGATGCGGATTTTAACTGGATTTTTGGAACCATATTGCTATAATGTGGCGTACTAGCATGTTATTATTAAAGAAGTGGATTTTTGGAACTATACTTATCCAAAGAAGTGGGTACAGAACCGTATTCCTATGATGTCGCGAAATGAAGTATAATAGCATGTTATTTTACAAAATCCAGTAAGGAATGAAGGTTTTAAAATTACTTTGAATAGAATATTGGAACCATATTGATTTACTAAAAGGAGGCGAAGAATTTCATGATAAACTACTGCAAAAGGCAGGTATAAGTGCTAGAAAAATAATCAAATGGGTTATCAGACCCATAATGATATCATTAGATTTAAATGTTTTGAATTTAATTCCAATGTATTATTGGAACCATATTGATTTACTAGAAGGAGACAAAGAATAATATCATTTACTACTACAAAAGGCAGGAATAAGTGCTAGACCCATATTGAAATCATTACTACATGCGTGTATTCTTCATCTCCCACAAGTAATTTTATGCTAAAACTAAAACAAATTTTTGCAATGAAAAGAGATGAAGAAAACTAGCATGTTTCACAGCAAAAGAAAGTAATAAATCAAGATTAAAAATATATTATGAATGGATTAACGGAAAAATAATAAGGCAACGCAGCTACTTGAAAATTACAATCATGCAATTTTGAAAAAAACTCAAAAAATAACTTATTAGGTTTATCATTATTAAATGAATGATTAGAACCATGTTGGTGCGATGCAGCATCTTTAAATTTACTATCATGTACTAGTTAAGACGGAATTTATTAGTAAAAGGCTAAGAAATGTTAAAGGTTTAAACAAAAGGTCTAAAACTTTAAGGTAGATACTGTCTTGTTACTGTTGTAAGGAATTTAGTCTGTGATTTATATATCTTGAAATGGCGCAGAGGTTCGGACTTGCGACCGTACTTGCCAGGCGGAGTGTGTAACCTCCTCTTAGCTCTGGCTTCGAGGATGTCATCTACTTGGTCTGGATAACGAGTGCGATAGAATCTGTTCACTGAAGACCAAAGGTTGTGTTCATGCATGGCTATGACTGTGGCTTCTGGTGCTTGTGCATGACAATCTTGCGTGCAGCTGTGACTTCTAAAGACAAAACTACAGGACAAAAGACGTATTTTTCGGAGAAAAAATATGTATTGGAGTCTTGGAGTTGAGACAATCCAAACCATAGTTTCAAGCCAGTGTGACTTCTAAAGACAAAACTACAGGACAAAAGACGTATTTTTCGGAGAAAAAATATGTATTGGAGTCTTGGAGTTGAGACAATCCAAACCATAGTTTCAAGCCAGTGAAGTTTTATGTTCACGACAGAAGCACATTTCCTCGCCACATATGTGGATTTTTTCAAACATTACGTGTATTGGACTCAGATGAACCACTTTTGCAGTGTTAGAGACGATTGCTACGAACACATAATACTCAACCCACCGAGATCGCTTCATCACTTGTATCTGCATCAGATCCACCGCTACTCGTATCCATATCACTCCCAGAGTTTGAAGGATTAGTTGAAGAAGAAGAAGTTGTTAGGAATTTCATATCCTGCTCGTTGACCTTCACAGCTTCTGCTTCATAAGCTGCTATCATCATGTTCTCAGAGACATTCAAGATCCTTGTGTTCTGAAGTGGATCATATATCTCCTTTCCCTGTCCAGTTGTGGCAATTTCAGCGAAGCCCACGTCCGATCTGCTTGACCAAGCCGTGGGTGACATGTTGACACTGGTCGAAGCGAAGCTCTGCTTCCCGCTCGAGGCTTCGTACTGAGCTGGAAAAGCTGGTGTGGCAAAAGAGAATTGCCTTCCAATATCATCGACGGAGTCCGGAAGAAGCGAAGGGTGCTTCTTGGCAAGCCTGTGGCTCATACAACACAGCATAAGATATCAGATGATAGACTTAAGTAAATGACATAAATTCCTTCTCAAATTGCCGAAAGATCAGGGTGGCCGCAGTCACCTTGCGATGTCTTTGATGGATCTCATGCGCCTATCCGTCAAAGACAGCGATCCCTGAGGCGCGAAGTAGAAGATGTTGGAGAATTGTCGCCCGTTGGGACCTGCTCGGATGTGAACCCGGCGCTCCCAGCCGGGCGGTGTCGCAGGAATGCCCGGCCGATCAGCCGTCAGGATGAAGTTGGAATTTCCCTCGAATTGATCCGCAGCTTCGCACGAAGCCTGGGAATTCCAGGGCGCGGCATCCTTGCAATACCACGGAACTCGAGCTATTCTCTCCCTTATACTCTCGTAGAGAACTTTGTCCGGAATAGGTCTGTACTTCCCGCACTCGGCGCACTGCACCGCATGGCTTTGGATGGTCTGGGCGGCCCAAATATGGCAGTCGGGGTAAGATCTCTTGCGTCGACCATTCTCGGAGCTCCCGCCCGAGGAACTCATTGCGCCACAAAGTCCAAAGCTCCTTGGCTCCCCGCCGTAAGCACACACACGATCGTCTAGACTCTCTCTAAAGGAAGACGACAGATCTCTCCTTCGCATTTACTCTCCCTTGGGAGGTGAAGAATCGCGTCGTGCACTTTCAGGGTGGTTGGAATGACAGCTTCTTAATGATCGAAGGCAATGATCACCCTATTCTAATGCTTATAGTACTTCTATTCAACTTAATGCAGATTAGTTCCCATGGTCACTTTACTTCCATACCCGCTCTGCTGTTTATTAGTTGATGTTAAGCAATGAGTCAAAGCAATCAACTGCCAACTTCTCTTCACACAAACATCGAATGACTCAGACCTAATTCGTGTAAATCCTTGGTACTGGAAGTGGAGAAGCTCGAAGGTTGCTACTGGTATTCGCTTGAGTCAAAACTATGTCACAAGTCAAGCGATATGACAAATATTGGGTGAATGTATGCTGATTATATTAATTGATTAGCACTTCTGAAATTCGTATGTAAAAAAATATGACCAAAAGTGGTCTTGATTTTGGATTCTAACTGAGAAGGGGTAATTACCAAGTAACATTAGCACTGAGTACTAATCATTTTTTAATCGAATTTTGTTCACCATTTTTTCGGTCGTGAGTACAAGGTAGTATCTTCACAAACCGGGCACATGTCGTTAAATCAGAGTCAGAATTTCTGTAGAAGAGATTTACAAGAACATGAAGACGACAAGTGAATGACAGCGCTTTTTGCTTTTCCAATTTCTTGGCCAGTTTGACATTACAATAGCTAGAACTCTGAATTTAGTTTATATAAAGAAAATCATTTTTAGTTGCAACTTAACAATCAATGAATAAAATTATTAAATCACATCGAGCTTCGGGTTGATAGCTAATGGAAAAAAATTTCAAACCTACTTTTAAATAAAAATCCATCTACTACAGATCAATATAAAGCTTCCGATGCGAAATATCTAATCATTCTTTATTTTCTATGAAAATATTAATTCTGAGGAGTTTGATTCTATTTATCTTAGAAATTATAATATGACTTATAGACGTCAGGAAATTAAATCATTTTTTAATCTTGGATTTTCATACTTTCATCTTGAAAAAGCTAGTACAGTTTCCCCAGGAGCCCTATCAAACAGTCGCGGGCTTTATAGTTATTTAAATTCTTTATATTTATTTAAATAAATAACTATTGATGTATTTTTCATTTTAATATAATAACAAAAATTTACTCTTTTCTGGATCCCTAATAAAATCTAGAGAACTGACATTTATTTTTAAGAATTAAAAATATTTAAATTGATTTTTCAATATTTTCTCTTGATAGTAAATCCATATCAAGAGATAATCACTTTCATTCATTTTATATAATGATTCTATATATATATATTTATTTATTTATTTAACGAATAGAATTATGATGTTGAATTTAGTACGACACGATGAAAGAAGGAATATCAAATTCACTAAAATATGACTGAATTAGAATAATAAGATATATTTTCTTCAATCAAGGAATTTCATTCAATATGAATCCATGAATATGAATTAATATGATATTTATATTAATTGTTATTTTCATTTTTCATTCAATTATTAAATTTATTTAAATTAGTGTTCTTGGATGACCACAATCTCCAAATCTCCAATAACTTTTATTGTGATACATCATAAAAAATAAACAGAAAAATATTGATGATCACTTCACGAAGCTTAAATTCAGCGAAAATTTACGAAACACACTCCTTGCAAAAAATAATCATACTAAAGTTGCATGTTATAATAAGTGTGCAGTGAAGGATTTAAATTATTGACATCTACATCAGATACTTTCTTTACTTATGACTCACACTTGCGCCTAAGTTGGAATCAATCAAAATTCATAAAATTTAATGGAAAATATCCCAGACAAACACGTAAGTATCGAGACGGAAATGTAGTTAATGGTGTCGATTTTAAAGATCATCTGGTAGCTGTGACGGGCCATCACAGTAGCAGGATATGAGAAGTCACATTTCTCTGTCACTCTCATGGTCCGACTTTTGAACAGACGCTCCCTGGCTGCAAGTTGTCTATCATTCTACTCGGGAAGTTAAACCCACGACTCCGTTCACATGTAACTGTTAGAGAGCGGACATTGTAACTAACTAGCACATTGGTTCACATGTAACTTTTAGAGAGCGGACATTGTAACTAACTAACACATTGGTTGCGGGAGACTTCGGAAAGTTATTTCTTCTTTATATACAAGTGACAAATGGATATATCCCTTGCGCAAAACGGGCAGTTCAAGTTCACTTGGTCCCACTTACATTTGAATCCTAGCAATAAAGTACTGCCCCTAAAGTGTTGCAAGCCATGAACATGACCTCCTATTGTGTCCCACGTCCAACGTTGACACACTGCCCAATTGAATGAACATAGTACATGAAGTTGGCACATTTTAAAGAGACTATTCGAGACGTTTATGGAAGACACATGGTGACCAATCTCAAAGACATAAGACTAAGTAGGACATTATGGGATTTTAAAAAAATATTTGTAAAATTTTTTATTTCAAGCCGTATGTAAATGTTTCAACACGTGATAATATCACATATACACGAGAGAGCTAGATAGGTCAATGATCAAAAATTTTATTTTTTTACTTTTTACTTATAAAACATTCAAGATTAAGCATAGAACCAACTCGAATACTTGCAGGTTTTATGGGACAAATTTTCATCATTTTTTAACGATGAATATGAAGAAGCCTTATGACTAAAACATAAAAAATACTTGTAAGGTTCTCATCTCCTTAAACTTTGTAAAACCATCTCCAAGCTCGTCCCCGCTCACTACCACTGGTGAGTCACTAGCTGCGGTGTAAAAGGAATTGGAGCTCTGTTCCAAAAAATTGAACTACGTTCCAAACATAATGGAGCTGGATCCGCCATGTTTCGCTCCCGGTGCCCACCCTCCTCCCTTCCTTCAGGTACCTCATCCCAATCTTCTTGAACCACCAATCAACCAAAGGGGCCCCACGCAATGGGGCCTGGAATCAAATGGACGTCGAGTGGGCAGAAGCGAAAAACCCTCAGTTTTCTATTTTTAATTTTGATGTTTTTCGTTATCTTTAACCTTAGCAACCAATTTCATCTAATAATGGCATATTTTTTGTACTGTCCTTTTATATAAAATCTTCTGAGATCCTGTCATATCAATATATTCATAAGATGATATATTCTGTATCTCGTTAATGGAAGTTGAAAGTTTCGTCTAGTCAATTGAAAATATCCATTTCCATTATCTCAATGTTTCACATATCACATAAAGAATTTATAATTGAGTTTTTTTATTGTATAATTTAAAAATTTTGTGTTAGGCATAACTTTTAAGTATTCTATTGTAATACATTGTGAATTCTGAAAAATATATATAAAAAATAGATAAAAAATAATTAAAATCATTACTGTGCTAGATATAAGCACATGCACATGTCAGTCATCAACTTTCGTTTTACGTACGAGACAAAATGTTGACTATGAAAATTCACATCATGTTAAAAAAATATTGAAAAAATGAACATTAATAAAAAAAGTGTAAAATAATTATATTTTTGCTTATCTAAATTTCAACATTCAAAATACATTAATCTAAAATATCTTCGCTTTTACTTGTTCAAAAAATATCAAGTGTGGATAAATATCGATTGCAATTTTTAAAATGAAAATGCTTTCAAGAACTTTCAAGATTATCAATATTGTACCTAAGATCTTGCTTAAAGTTGGATTTTATGTATAATGATCTATAAATGAGAAAAAATGATGAAACTAGCAGATTTTATCTAAAACATCATAGCAAATTTTATCTGTAAATTTCATTGACTAGAAAATTTGAAGTTCTACATATTTGTTATAGATTTAGTTTAAATCTTAAAAAACATGCTTGATATGCTTTGTAAATGTTTATAACATCTTATTGCTTCATATCACATCATTCTATTTAATCAAATGAGATATCTTTGATATCAACATGAAATCATTATATCACCTTAAGTAATTGTTTTGTGGCCGATGGTTTAGCAAACTGTTCTACATATGGTAGCAAGAAGGTTTATCTTCAAGCAATGGATTTGGAGATTAAAAAGAGCTGAGCTATGGAGGCTTGATGTAACATTCTTGCTTTAGTGAAGCTTTTCTGTCGGCCGTGAACGTGGGCTTGTGTGGAAGTGAACCAAGTACAACGGATTCTTGTACAAATAGTTGGTTTTGATTGTTGCCTTGCATGAAAAGTGCATTCAGATTAAGAATAATAATATTTAGCTACATATTTAGTATTAGAATTTTTTATTTATGGTTAAAGTGCAAAGTCATTTTGTGGTAACACACTTTTTGTTTTTTTTGCAGAATTTAAACAATTTTAGAAAACAAGTACCGAAGCAGTGTCTGTAGTTAGGAAATGGTACGTTAAATAGAGTGGATTGAGGAGATCGTCACGAGGTCACGAAGAAGCATGAAGTTGGACGTACCAGTGCCAAATGCCTTCGGCGCCTTCGGCAAGAGCTCCTTTGTTGAGGTGTCTCTACTCACGCGCTTCCAGCGTTTAGGGAAGGTACGCGTCCGGCGCAGACACCTCCGGAGGAGATCTCGCTGAAGACGTCAGAGGCCGGCAAGGACCTCTGAAGGCTTCCGACCATGAGTGCGCCTTCGGCGATGCGCCGCTAGCGCGGGAGGGAAACCTTCATAACAATCGGGATTCACGGTAGTTCCAGTTGGTTAAGGTTGCATTGGAAAGAGCTCGGGACGCTCGTTCTAACAAGCCCAAGAGCGCCGGAGATAGATCAGGGACAAAGAAATTATGAGCGTCGGAAAACTCGCATCCGGACATGCGCTGTTCGCGCTAGGGTTCACCGTCGGAAAGGACTCCCGTACGCCTTCGGCGATGCGCCTTCGGCGGAACCACGCGCTCATGAGGGGAGATCAACTCAGAGGCGGAAGCGCCTTTGGCGGCTGCGCAACGGAAGAGAAGTGCCGGCCGGATGTACGCCTCCGACATGGCGCGGATAGGCGGGCGCGCCGGCATGATTTGCGCCGTCAGCGATAGGCGGGGCAGAACGGACAAAACAAGTAGTACGAATACGCACCGGCGTAATTCGCGCCGACTT